ATAAAATACCTAACCCAACTAGCCTCGAAGTCCGGGCACCCACCGAGAGTCTTTCTAAAGATAAATATGGGCTCCAACCGCGCCGGCGTCATTCCTGGGACCCCAGCCTGTACACAGATGATCTCGCAGCTCCTTCTATCTTCCACAGTCGGATCCTCAATCTTCTTCGGACTATACACACACGCGGGCCACTCCTATGCCGCCCGCGAGGACTGGGAAGCAATGGGAATCCTGGGCGTTGAATTCTCCGCACTGCACGACGTAGCACAAGTAGTCCGAAAAGAACGACCCTCTCACCCCTTAGTCCTAAGCGTCGGCGCAACACCAACGACAACAACACTCCAACACCCAGACTTCAGCACCGACGGAACAGAGTCCGATCCAACAATCCTCTCCAACCTCTCAGCAACATCCCTAATAAAATCCGAAATCTCCGCCATGCGGTCTGAAGGTCTAACGCTCGAAGTCCACGCAGGCGTCTACCCAACCCTCGACATCCAACAACTCGCCGCCCACGCGCGCGACTCCACATATCTCAACCCTTCCGCAATCGCCATAACGGTGCTCGCAGACATCGCCTCCGTGTACCCCTCGCGAGGTCCCAACGACACTTCCGAGGCACTGATAAACGCCGGCTGTCTCGCCCTAGGCCGCGAGCCCGTCATCGACGCAGGGCCCACGCCAGGTATTCACTACTCCGCGCACGGTATCCTCATGCCCTGGTCCGGCACACAGAACGAGATACCTGGGCCAGAGTTCCCTGGGAAGCATGGCGGGTGGCAGGTTACGCGCTTAGCGCAGGAACACGGGATGTTGTCTTGGAAGGGAAATCCTGAGGATGAGGCGGGTTGTGAGTTGAAGGTTGGACAGCGGGTTAGGGTTTGGCCTAATCATAGCTGTATTACGGGGGCGGGGCATGCTTGGTATCTTATTGTTGACAGCAGGAATCACGGGAGAGAGGATGAGATTGTTGATGTCTGGGTTCGGTGGAATGGGTGGTAGGGCCCCAGTGATTTCGGCAATGAGGGATTGTGTCCCAGGAAGTTTGAAAGCATGTATCTTATGGCCTGGACATGAGGAAGCATGAGAATGGAAATCACCAAGATGAAAGAAACATAGGGTTTTGGGAGGGTTATTTTTGACTTCAGGCAAGTCTACCAGACAGATGTGAAGTATCCTCATCCGCAACATCTGGGTCCTCCGTTCCTCAAGCAACCGAAATCAAATCTTTCAGTCCGCAATGGTACATTTTGGGTCTCATCAGCGAACTCCATACGCCGGAATACCTTCATACCAAACAGTCACACGTTGACAGTATCGACTTATGAGTTTCTCATCTTGCCGACCATCTCCAAGTCTCCTTCTCAGGGAATCTCCATCGCCCCCAAAACCTATACATCCTGTGAACGCCCACAGTGAATCTTGTCGAGTGAGAAAATGACTATTTGCATCTCTTCTCAACAATACCCGCACCATTCTCTTCATACTCCTTCCGACTAATCCACATCTGATGGAACGTACCCAAGCTGGCAAGAATACTGCCACCAATCCAGGCGCCGAAGCGTCTCTCCGTGGTAAGACCAGCAGCATGCAGCTTGATCTTCATGCCGGGGTGCATTGCCATCAGCTCATTGTTCAAGCGGTCGTTGAATCCATTGAGTAGACTGGTGCTACCGGTCACGACAACGTTTCCAAGCAGGTTAGGGCGTAGATCAACGTCCACGCCAGAGAGACAAGCTTTGATCATCTCAGGAATAGTCTGAGCTTTGGAGCCGTCAGGGAGAGGAAGGGCAGCCTTCTCATCCCACATTCCCTCGGATACAGCGAATCGCTGCTCACGCCACATCTGGTTCGATCCGTCGGGCATCTCGAAGACGCGACCTGCCTGCGACTTGACTAGCTCCTCGTTACCCGGGTTCAAGTACCAACCAGGACCCTTCCAGACCTCGACGACGCTCTCCTTGAACTCGGTCAACAGCTTCTCCTCCTCGTACGCATGGAAGGTCGGGTGGATATCGTAGGCATATTTCTTGCGCTCGGCTTGGGCTGGGACGCCAGCATCGACTGGGGTCTTACCACCGATCAGATATGAGGGTAATATGTCGATCTTGGGGTCGGAAGCTGCCCACATGGATCTGATCTGTTGTGAGAGCCACAAGCCACCAATCTGAGACTTCTGGATGCTGCGCTTGAGGACCATGCCGTCGTGAATGGCGGTTACGGAAGTGTTGGCGCCGCCGACATCGATAACGAGGGCAGAGGCCTTGCCTGCTGCGAAGGCGGCGAGGACGGGAGTGCGGGACAGCCAGAAGGCGGGAACACCCCAGTTCTCCATAGCAATCTCGATAGCCTTTTCGCGGGCCTTGCCCGAGTTCCAAGGGGCTTCGGTCATGAGAACGGGGCTCTCGGCGAGGGCCTTCTCCTGGGCTTCGGCATCCTCCATAGTAACGTCGTCTTGGTCGTCGGAGGGATCGTTGAGGCCGTTCTTGTGTGGGGCCGACTGCTTCTCGGGCTGAAGGCGGCGGATCAACATGTCCTCCCAGATCTGAGTAGCGGCGTCCCAGTCCTCGACGACACTCTCAGTGCGGGACATGTAGTTGTTGATCTCGCAGTCGGGGCGGGGGAAGATGCAATCGTCGCCGAATACATTCTTGTAGGAGGTGGTTGTGCTGTCGGTGTTGCTGGACTTGATGTGGCCATAGAAGGAGGGAAGGACGGATTTGGGGACATCTTCGCCGGCGAAGCCAGCGCGGGTGTGGCAGTAGCCGGGGTCTAGAACGAGAGCAGAGACCTCATCTGGGGTAGTAGATCAGTATGAGATGTAACGCGAAGCCGAGCACGTGGTATAGGCCCAGGCGCAAAGGAGGAAACGTACCTCCACCATAGACATCCAGCGGAGCCTGGGTGTTAGGGAGAGGCTGTTGGGCGGCCATCTCGAGGGTTGGCTAGGGCCAATTGAGACAATGCGTAGATGGTCAGCTACAACGATTGCGGAGGTGAGGTTGTGTCGGCGAGTGTGGGATTGCCGATCGCAAAGATGTGATGTTTTCTAGATCGCGTCTCTATCAACAGCGACCTCGGGAAGCTACAGCTCCAACGGCGGCGCGTGGCTGGTAAATGGAGGGGTACAAGGGTACTTCTACAGCTATCACAGCTACATGATCACCGGTGACATTTTCGTGCATGCGGCGATGAAGTGGGTCCAAGCTTGGGACAGTAGATGAGGTGGAAATCGCTGTGTTTCGGGCCAATTCGTGCCTGCCATGTTCACCACCCAACAAAGATCCATCTTCCCAGCGGTTTAAACATCACACTGCCCCAATTGACCCAATGGGGGTGTTTGTGCTTCTCACGATCGGACTCAATAAGAAGGACGAAGCAACCCAGCGTGATAGCCGCTGCCGTCAGTTCTGACAATAAACTCTGGACAAGATGTCCCTATTATCAGAGGACGAGGACGACTTCCTCTCTGATAACCAATCCAATGCCTCTTCCTCTGGCGACGATGAGCCCTTTCCTCCCATACCACTGAGTCAGAACTACTTTGCACCGCCGTTCTACGGCCGCCCACCAACGCCTCTGCCGCCCTCGCCGTCATTGACATCCCTCCTACGACCGTCGCGTCCCACGACTCCAGACCCCTCCGACGACGAGCTTGAGCCTGTACCCCGCGCCTCTCCCAAGGTGCCCACCTACGAATACTATGGCTTCGTTCTCTATCTCTTCTCCTCCCTGACCTTTTTGGTATACCTTCTCTGGGCCTATCTCCCAGCGCCATTCCTGCATGCTCTAGGCATATACTACTACCCCAACCGCTGGTGGGCCCTGGCCGTCCCCGCCTTCATCACCATGTTGCTGGTTTACATATATATCGCACTTGCTCTCCTGAACACAGAAGTCTTGACACTCCCCATGACATCCATTGAAACCATCGTCGATGAAGCAGGGAAGATAGCTACTATCGACAGTAAAGGACGCATCAAGAGTGGCGAGCGGAAGCAAATCACGCAGGAGAAGGCTAGACAACTGGACTGGAAGAGTATATGGAGTACGGGCACAGACGCTGTCATGGATGTGCCACTTGCTGGCGTCTGTGAGGTTTTGTATGGTGATCTGGTTTCGGACGAGGAGGACGGCTGTGTTGATGATACCCATTGATTTATTTACACTTGGTTCAAGCATGCGTCGGCGTTTACAGTCGACCCTAACCCCAGATGATCAAGGGGAATCCTTTTATTAAGAATCTATCCTGCGTCTGATTTGACCACGTCTTGGAATCGACTTGAGGAACGTGTCCAGTCACTCAAATTCGATCAGGTCCGCACCGCCATCATATGCTCCTGTTTTCCAGGCATGCTACATACGTACACGTATCACGACGATCATTCCTCTTGACCCAATCTGTCTACCATTTCTTGGCCCGTATTGCGGTTCTGACATCAATACGCCAGTAGCCCATTCACGTCCATCATCCATGCAGCGTATTGCCGCAACCCCGTTTCGCGTCCTTCCAGGTTCCCTGGTTTCAACTCCGGATTTGCAATGGCCTAGCGTCGTGCTCCAAATCCCCAAATGACCAAGTATGAACTGGCATGAAAGCATTCCAGAGTTTTCGAATCACAATTCTACAAATATCAAGGTCCCTGAATCACACAATTCCAGTCTCATGATAATCATTACTCATTTACGGACTCCGAACTTAACGCCCAGCCTTCGACCCAAAACTAACCAGTAAAGCCAAGAGTCAGCTCACCATGTCATATCATTACTTGCAGCACATCCATGACCGCAATCCACACATCGAACCAGCATGCAACAAGGGTCATCTAGCCTTACCAAGCCTAAACGACTCCCGGACCCGGACCTCACATCTCGCTCTCTCTGTACCACAACATGTCAACACCCTGAGCTCCTTGAGCTCTGGCACTCTGGCCTTGTCACTCATCTTCCGATCCTATTCCTATTTGCAAATAGACCGGCCCTCTTCAACAATCACGACTGGTCGGTTAGCTCAGTTGGCAGAGCATCGCAATCACACCTCTTCACGAGATTGGATACCTGCGAAGGTCATAGGTTCAAGCCCTATACTGACCAATAACCTCTTTTTGTCATTCCCCCTTCCCTCTCTATTTTCCTCTCTTTTGGTGCACGGTTCATCCGAGGAGTCTTCACAGCCATTAACCCTTCTCATCTCAACAAACAACCACCTGGTCGGTTAGCTCAGTTGGCAGAGCATTGCAATTACACTGCAAAGGCCATAGGTTCAAGCCCTATACTGACCATATCATTCTTTTTGGCCCATCCGGCTCTTTGCTCATGATCTAGTTCGCCTGGTATTCTTTTCCGTTACCTAGTAAGCAATGAAGTCATATCCAATGCATCTCGCATCATGTCATCCCAGCCCACAATGACCATGCCTCTTTCCACTGGGTTCACTTTCCGTCTCGTCACTAATGCCCCTGCCCTGCCTACTCTCGCTTTGTCTTTTCGCCCAGTTGAGCTAGCTGGTCCTACATAGTCGTTGTTCCACCTAGACTCTTCAACAAACACAGCCGGTCGGTTAGCTCAGTTGGCAGAGCATCTCATTTACTCTGAGAAGGCCATAGGTTCAAGCCCTATACTGACCAGTTCATCTTTTTTGCCTCTACTTTCCCATCGCGCTCCTTGTCCCTGTCCTGTTTTCTCTGTTTCTCCATCCTATCACAGTACTGACTGCCATCGCCGTTCGTTCCCCTTTTGGCCTATGAATCCTTGTATCTTGGACTGGGATATAGTACATCTTACACGTAACCCTTTCAACAAACACACATCTGGTCGGTTAGCTCAGTTGGCAGAGCATCGCAATTACATCCATGAGATTTCTGCGAAGGCCATAGGTTCAAGCCCTATACTGACCATTCCTCTCATTTTTACTGCACGCACTCTGAGCAGTCCTATCCTTCTTGCTCTTTACGGAATCTTTGTCATGAATAGTGTGTAATCTACCAATGGCGTAGTGGTCAATCTTACGTAAGATCTGACATAACACGTTAATGGGAAGATTTTTGTTTCCTCCTGCTCAAGCTCTTTCCCAGATCCAGATGCAATTAAATCATCACCAAATGTTATTTGACTACTCGATATTCTAACAGGTTACTCTGGAGCCTGGAATCGCAACATGTCTTCCGTCTTACTACGCAATGCCCACCGACGACAAGGTGCATGGTTCCTGGGCTGAAGGCGCTCGCGGACGTTCCGTGGACGGGTAGGTTTGGGCTTAGCGACGGTAGTGAAACGCGGGGAATCGAGGTTGATCTGCCGGTCTCCGGCTAGGTTTCGTTTCTGCTTAACGCCGAGCTACTTCGGACATAGCGGATGTTATAATCTTAGGTACGGTAATCCGTACACCTGGGATCAACGTCGCCAGCAGGTAGCACAAGCTTCACAGGACTGGTGCTGGCGAATCCATCTTGATGAAACGCGCATTGGAAGAGCTCAAGCGTACCACTCACTAAATGGAAATCACAGACAATATGCGCATGCTTCTTCGACGGAACGGGCACATTGTTGAAGAGGTCAACATCCGGCTTGTTTCGCAACATCCCGTACCGAACGGACTCTTATGCAGAGCAACGATTCCCTCATAATACTCATCTCGGCAGAAGACTGCGACGGCTTCATCGAGGGAATCGGGTTCGCGTGGCGTATCGTAAATCTCATGACCGTCTTCAGCAATTATGACTGGTCTGCAATCATGGAAATCGACCTTTATCTTACCTGTGGATGCTCTTGATGAGGGTTCCAGATGCACGGGACAGATTTGGGCACCAGGCAGCTCTGCATGTCGCAGCCGTGTTAGTCTAGTTGGGTGTTGCTGGTACGGCGTCGACGGTAATTCTCGGACATGGCCAATCACCGGAATAAGTCTCTTGTTACACTGCTTAGTCAGATTCGTCGAAAAAATATTTCTGTGGAAAAAACGCTGAGCTGTTTACCCGGGAGCAAATGACACCACAGTTTGATGGCGAAGACGGTTCATGGCTATCTCCTGGCGACCTGAACGCAGTACAATCGCGCGGTCGCAACGCTTTGCAACTTGCAAACAACTCCGGTCAAGAGCGATATGTGCGCAACTAAACCCTCGCAGCCCCCAACTGCCCGACGATCACACACTTCCTCACTTCAGGCAGAGCCCCATTTCTAAAGAGTACAAACCACTTCGCCGAGCTATGAGAAGATGACAGAGAAGACAGCAGCACGACCTGGGAGGTGCATCGGCTTAACAACTGCTGACCAAGGATCGAAACAAAATAGCTGGAAATCTTTGAGAGATATGGACAACTCCTACACAGGTGGTTAATCAGACAATACTAGCTAGCAATAGAGACAACGTTCTGTCTTCGTCCATACTATTCATAGATCGTAGGCAACAGGGTCAATACCTGCACTGAGCGCTATGAGTCAAGACTTATACAGTGTCTGCGTCCGCTCAAATATTCTAAGAAAATGTGAATGAAGTATGCACATTTATATAAATCTGTATTATCTTCGAGTCAAGATTATATAGAGGCCTACCCAGTTAGTGAGTTGTAACGTATCATACATGCTCACCGGCAGACCGTCCTTGAGTTTGGATGAGATAAGAGGTTCCCTAGATGTTATGTCAAATATTTCTAAGACCGGTACCTTTCCTTACCCCACCAAATCCGCGAAATCTCACTCACCCCACCAAGTCACTCAGCATTCAGCAATTGAACAAAAACAAAAACAAAACTCATTCCAACCACATCAGGGATTCACGGCTCAGCTATGGAAGAGCTTCCAGTAGAGCCTCGAGGTCTATACCTACAGCCTGATTTCATAACACCCGCACACGAAGCTAAACTTCTGCACATATTCCGACACGAACTCACATGGCCCGTCTCGAAAAACCCCGGCGCGGCGCGCCTCTCACTACACTACGGCTACACATTCGACTACAAGACATTTGGGATTGACCCAGACATACCGTACAAGCCGTTTCCGTCCTGGCTTGAGCCCCTAATCCCTATGAGTGAGGAGAGGCCGCCGGATCAAGTCTGTCTGCAGTGGTATCCACCCGGTGCTGGAATCCCGCCGCATGTTGATACGCATAGCGCTTATGACCAGCTCTATGCGCTGAGCCTGGGAAGTGCTGTTTGTATGCAGTTTCGCACAACGATTGAGCAGCCTTTGGAGGATGACGATGCGGAAGCGCCTGGGATTGGGGAAGTTAAGGATGGTGAAGCTAAGACACAGAGACGACAGGTCGAAATCGACCTCCCGCCCCGATCCATGATGCAGATGACTGGCGACTCGCGCTTGCATTGGGAACATGGGATTAAGAAGAGGAAGAAGGATGTACTGCCTGATGGTACGGTGAGGATGAGAGAGGAGAGATGGAGTATTACGTATAGATGGTTGAGAGGGGGAGGGGTTTGCGAGTGTGGGAATGCGCGGCTGTGTGATACGGCGCAAGCGAGGTTGGGTGTTGAGAGGGAGTTGAGGTGGAAGACGCAGGGGAAGATCAATGGTATTGAGGCAGAGGGAGAGGGAGGAAAGTGCGAAGATGGAGACCAGGGTGATGGAAAGAATGGGACGGTGGTTGTAAGCAAGGAGGAGGAGGAGAGTAGTAATATACCGCTTCCACGTTGCTCATGCCCGTCTTCCAGCAATGTATATGTGTGGGGGTTGGTCTACGAAATGGTTCTCTGTCAGTATCGCAGTGTCGTTTTACTATGTGTTCTAGACCTCGAAGTCGTTGACGCAAAATCCCAGGCATGCGTACGAGCAAGTGATGATCACGGCAGTTCTACCTACCTTCTTAACAAATGACGAGCCTCTTTGCCTTAAGAGGTGACAAAATGTTTCCCTGTGTGTGGATTACATTAGTTCTATTTGCAACTGTTGACTTTCCAGTTCTGAGTCCAATAGTTTTACATCGGAAACACTGACACAGGCCACCGTAAGACGGATTTCTCACGGATTTCTCACGGGTACTTTTGATGGTGATCACCTTATCAAGATCCCTACACCTTCATTCAATCAGCCCGCTTAACCCACACCGATGCAAGTGAAGCAGGCTTCATCCAGGCTGAACAGGGGGGAGCAAAGCTGGATCTCTGCCGGAAAGCCGGTACAAATCGCGCTCTGACCGTGCTTCGGACCGTGATCACAAACCACGCTCACCCCGCCAAAGACCCTAGAACTTTGAATCCGAGTGGAACAAGATGACGTTCAAAAAATTTCGTGTAATTGATTCACTTCTACGATACTTCAAATGTAGTATCCCAGGTTTGGCGATCACCGCAACTCTGCAAAGTCTGTGCGACTCGCCGTGTTCTCATCCATACCTTACCCAGCATGCACATATCGCCAGCCACTTCGATTCTATCCTTCGACCTACTATCGTATACTCCAAGACACAATTCGATAATAAGTTGCTGGTATCAAACGAAACAGAAACATGACGACACCTCCCACCTCACACTCGAGCGAGACAAAAATTTCGGAAACTGAGAAAGTCGGCAACGACACCCCGCATACGCAGAGTATATTGCAGGATCTAGAGGCTTCGTCTCAAGCCTCTGTTGACAAGACTCGAAAATGGAACTACCCTAAAAGTAACATCGGGAAAGTCGCTGCCTGTTTCTGGTCGTTCATAGTGATAGGAACCAACGCCGCCGCGTACGGGGTGAGATTATATCCCCAATCAACCCCCCTGTCTTATGAATACATAATCTTACACATGAGTTAGGCATTAATACCCTATGTAAGTACCTGACATCGTGGTATTTTGCAATTGCCTCCTAAGCGCTCATGACACGCTTGCCAAGCTAGAAACTGACTAAGGCACCACCAAAAAGATTCAAGCAGATTACAATCTCACATACACCCTCGTATCGCTCATCTTTCTATCACCAATCGTGGGTCACACCGTATCAGCACTACTCAACAACTGGGTTCACGAGCTTTGGGGCCAACGAGGCGTCGCTCTAATAACTTCGGGCTGCCATGTTGTCGCCTATGTGATTGTAAGCTCACTCAACTTTACTCCAACCTACCAGCTCTGAGCTGTTGACAAGCTTTCCCTAGATGGCGGTGCATCCGCCTTACCCACTACTAGTCATCGCCTTCCTGGTATCCGGGTTTGGCGACGCAGTCGGAAACGCTGGGTGGCACGTGTTTATCGGCAATATGGACAACGCAACGCAACTTCTCGGCTTCCTGAACGGGTTCTTCGGTATAGGCGGCGTGATTGCGCCTTTGATTGCGACATCTATGATCGTGACGGCCGGACTGCGATGGAATACATTTTACTACTTTATGGTGAGTTCTGGAAGCTTCTAAGATACGGCGTGCAATTCTCTCGTTAATTCGAATGATTGTAGCTTGGATTGGCGGTCTTGGAGCTGGTTAGCACGGTCGCATGCTTCTGGTCATCGACTGGCGCGGCATATAGAGCCTCGATCGCGTCAGACGAAGCTGGTAATGACAGCAAAACGGCGACTCTCAAGGAAGCACTCATGAGTCGACCGTCAGCCCGTGTGACGTGGCTTTGCTCCTTGTTCTTGGTGGGATACGCCGGTATCGAGGTTGCTCTGGGGGGCTGGATTGTTGACTTCATGATTCAAGTTCGCCACGGCAGCAATTTCGCCAGCGGGATCACTGCAACCGGGTTCTGGCTTGGTATCACAGTTGGAAGATTTGTTCTCTGTTCCATCACTCCGAAGATTGGCAATAGCCTGGCATCAACAGTGAGAGGACCCAATCTGGAAACAACGAATCGCCTTCAGCTGATAACATTACAGATCTATCTCGTCCTTATCATCGGTCTCGAGCTAGTGTTCTGGCTCGTGCCAAGTTTCATCGCATCCGCAGTGACAATTGGGTTTCAAGG